ATCGTCTCCCACCTGAGCTTGCGACGAAATTAGTGGATAGTATGAAACGTCATGTATCAGCATTAATAATGTCCAATAGGAACTATACAATGTATTAGACTTTAGTATCAATGATGTAATTTTTAATAAAAAATTTTTTTTTGCGTTACCGTCATTTTTCGAAAAATTAGAGGGGTACAGTTACTTATGACCAGTATAGTATCTTCATTTTTACTTTTTTGATTTTAATAGATCTAATTAGAGCCAATGGGATATGACTAATTTGTGGCTGACTATGTTTGGATGGTCTTTTAAGTTTCTGTTTATCAGATGGCAAATGAAAACTTAGAAACATATATCTTGATAAGTTAATTCTTCATCTATGCTATTAGGACTCCAGCGTTAATAATATAGGAAGAATAGAAGGCAACAAGCCAACTAATAAGTAGCTTATTATCTTAGGTAGTTTAGGAAATAGATAAAGTCTAATAATTTGTTATAAAGTATATAAGAGTACTTATAACAGTATTTAATAAACAAGGTGTATGCCAGTTATTACAAAAAAAAAATACGTTTTTATCAATTTATTTAATAATATTTTAAAACAAATTATATATTATATAAATTAAATTATTGAAAATTAAAAATTAATTATTTTTTTTCAAGAGTTCAAGACTCTAAAAAAGATTAATATAGGATTTTGAAATTTTTTTTCATCTTTTTCAAAACTTTTTTTTATCTTTTTAAGTATATAATTTTTTTTGATTTTTTTGATAAATTTTGTTATTTTGATTTAAGTTTAAATTTTTTATATATTAGAATTCTTGAATAATAATTGATTAGAATTAAGATTAATTAATCTATATATAATAAAAAAAATAAACAAAATATATAATTTTTATATATCTTATCTTATATAATAACAAATCAAATAATATTATTAAATATAATAAAAAAAAGCAAAGTTATAAGATATTTATTTTATTAAAAAATGTTATAATATATATTTTTTTCTTTTATATTGATTTTTTTTTAATATTAAAAAGTTTTTTTCTGATTTAGTAAAAAACTTTTATTATTATTATTAATTTTAAAAAGATGTTAGATAATAATATAAAATTTGTTTTAAGTAAAGCTTTTAATAATATTATTTTAATAATATATTAATATCAATTTATATTTAAATTTACTATAAATTTATATAAGTAGATTAAAACTCATAATAAAATTATTATAAATTGATATTATTTCAATATTATTTCTATATTAGTTTAATATTATTTCAATATTAATTTAATACTTTTCAAAGTTTTTATCTTAAGTAATAATCTTTAATAAATATAAGATTTGTTTTAAGTAATAAAATCTGATAAATATTGTTATAAGTATTTTAAATATTTTTATCAATAATAGAATAATAAAAATTAAATAGTTTATTTGATTACAAGTAGTAATAAAGTATTTATCATAATAAAATAATAGATTAAAGGGTTTTTATTTATTAGAACAAACTTTTCAAATATATATATATATATATTACTTTTTTAAAAAATAAAACTTTTTTTTATATTTTAAGATTACATATTCATGTTGAAATATCAATTTAAATATAAATTGGTTTTGATTTTTTAAGATTATAATAAAAAAATTATTGAAAAGAATAAATTTTATTATTTCCTATAATTATATTTAAAGAATTAAAATTTGAAAAGCTCAAGATAATTAATATTATGCAATGATAGTTTAATAAATCTATTTTCTTATAATGAAATAATTAGTAAATAGCTAAATTATATTGACAATACAGTAGTTTGAATATTAAAGATTTAAAAATTATATATTGTACAAATCTAAAAATAATTTATTGGTAAGTATTTTATAATATTTATAATTTAGCTTTAATATAATATTATTGTATATATTATATTATTGTTTTTTAAAAAATTAATAAATATTTAGAAATTTTAATTAAATAATCCTTTATTAATAAACATATCATGTTTTTTTTTCATTAATCTGTATACTAATTTTATAAATTCATAAGAAAAAAAAATCTTTTTAAAAATTATTATTATAAAAGAAAAAAATTTATTATAAAAATTTATTATAAAAATACATTTATTAAATAATCTTATTAAATAGTTTTAATAATAACAAAGTATTTTCAAATATTTTTAATTAAAGAATTTTGAAAATTTCTATTAAAAAAGTTTTTTCTTGTATTTTTATTAAATGATATTATCATATCAAAGTTTTTATAATATTTTTATTAAAAATAAATCAATTTTCATATTTTTTAAAAATTATAATTTATTAAACATCAATTGTTTACTATTAAAAAATTTATAACCATATAAATATTTTTAAAATTTTCAGGTTTAAAGTCTAGAAAAATTAAATATTTAAAATAATGACATGTTGATAAACTCAATTGTGTTACATAATTAACCAATAAATTATTCACATATCTTATATGCTGTATATACAGTATATTTGATATTAAATTATTTTTTTTATCTATTTTTTTTTTTTTATTTTTTTGATTTCACCAAAACTTGCCATATCTATGTAATTATCCGTTAATAATCTAGATCGTTACTGTAATAGGTGAAAAGTCCAAGGAGAAAAAACGAATTAATAAATATTTTACGCAGGGAACATTGAAAAAGGATCAAGTCATGAAGATATGAATGATCTTGATAACCATATTTAATCATGGATAATTTTAAAAGGAAGGTTTTAATAATATGAAACGTTTTTTTATACTGGGTTATAAACAACAGCACAACGTCAAGTCGTTTACGAAAAAGTAAAACCAGTTCTGTCGGTCAGAATTTAGATGAAAATCAATTGAAAAAAAAAAGACATTTTAATTATAATGAACGTATATGGTAATTCTTTATTATCCTTATGTGTAATAACAATACAGAACTTTTAAGCCATAGTCTATCGTTATCCCAGTAGTGCGTACGTGCATACCATTTTGAGGGAAGATCGGTTAAGCTTATTAGTTGTGTCTACATAAAATATGCCGGCGGCCAACATCTGTTTAACGCAAAGCCGGTGTGAAACTCTTAAACCTCTCGACCGGCGTTATTCTCACTATCCTCGCATATGCAAATCGTTCTACTAATGATTATCAGCGATATAAGAAATTGCTGATTTTGTCGGGCCGATCTAAACATGGCAAATTTGGCCGACGTGCATTTTTTAACAAATTATGAGAAATGGCACAGCTCGTACACGGCATATCCATTGTCTAAATGCATTGTTGTTGACAGGTCGCACAGCGGCAAACTGATATTTTCTTTCAAATAATAAAGATTTTCTCTCGATTTTATTTTTTTTTTTCTTTGAAAAAACAGCTAATAGGTTTGCCATTGTTCTCTATACAATGAAATTATCGTGTTAGACATCTTCAATGAAGCCCCACTTTTCTGAATTTGAAAATTTTTTAGAAATGATTGATGGACTTATAGGTGCATGCATAGCTATTATATTTAAGATCTACAATCATAATCGCGCGAAAAGTTAGCCAGAACAATTGACGCCATACTCATCATCTCTTGATAAAGAAAATACTTTGAATTTCTGTTAATTTTCTTTTTTTTCCTGCTCCTCTTTGCTTCTTACTCGAAAAGCCACGGATATAAATACACCTTTCTTCCCTTAATATAGCAGATTGGTTACAACATTCATGAGGTACCCCATCTATGTAAAATGGACGAACAATTATGTTGCCTATCGAAGTTAGTAATTAAATTCCTCAAGAAAAGGACACCGAAAAAACGTAATGTCACCGTACCATCGTTACCCACCGAATGCATGCAACAAGTTTTTCAGCACATAGTCGATCAAGGAGAAGGCTTATATCGTCTATATCCATTCTTGCTGGTCAATCGTTATTGGTGTAAAAATGTTGTACCTTTCTTATGGGCTCGACCATTTGAGGACTTAAAACCAGAAAACCGATATAAAATAATGTTGATTTATCTTTCTTCTCTTAACGATCAAGAAAAATCAGAGTTGAACTCGTCGTTGAAACCTTATAAAATCACCATACCCAACTTAAAACCTCCCTTGTTTGACTATCCAATGTTGCTAGAAGAACTTTCTTATAAAAATGTTGAGATGACAGCACACTCTTGCATATATAAGTGGAATAGCGAAGCTTTCAAACAAAAAGAAAAAGAAGAACAAATCCTCGTATTATCAACCGCCTTATGTAAACTATTTCTAAGAAAGTCTACAAATCTAAGGACATTTATAATTGACAAATTTCTGGGGCACTCTGATATTCCCGATTGCTCAATATTTGTCTACAATCAACCCGGACTGCGAAACATTTCGAGCCTTTCGATCGATTATACAAGACCTATTATGGAGAATACCATTCGACTTCTAGAAGCAATTCCCTCTATATGTACAAGCATTCGATGTTTAAACATAAGGATTCCATTTTTTGAAAGTAATCCCGAAGTAATACAAGCCGTCGTAGAAATAATTCAATCGCAAACTTGTCTCACCGAATTCAGCCTCGAAGGAGTCAGAAGCGGAGAGTCCAAAGACATCATTAACGCGCTACATCAATCAATCACTTTAACCATAATAAAACTCGAAAACGTGAACATCACCACCACAACACTATCGACCCTATCCCTTTGTCAAAACCTTCAAAGTCTGTCCATCTTAAGATGCCAAGGATTAACCGTTGAAGAGATCACTGGTGCTGGAAGTAGCAACAGCAATGAAAATTTGTGGAATAGAATGAGGTTTAATCTAAAAATATTGCATCTCAAAAGTTCTCCAAGGTTTCCAGCAATTCCTGCGTCGATAATTCGGTCCGCGGGGGACTTCTTGCAAGAATTGAGTCTTGATGTGATAACGACCGAAACCGTAGAATCCATAACTTCGCGCTGTCCAAACATATTGAACCTGCAACTTTACAATTTTCTCCCTCAACACAATTCCTTGCTAGGCAAATTATTCCAAGGTCTCAAACATATTAAGAAACTGACCATATCAATGCACCATAGACATATGAATAGAGAAAATATGGCCATATCAGGAAGAGAATTGCCTGTAAGTTTAGAGTACTTAAAATTACAATGCAGTTTCAATAATGCTCAATTAGAAAATTTGCTGAGAGAATGCAGATCCCCCTTGAAAACCTTGATTATAGATTTTAGGAAGTTTGAATATTTGGATTTGAAGGTGATAACCAATTTCGTAAAGTCGAAGAGAACATTAAAATATCTGGGCATAGGTGGAAGAATTGGGTGGTGCGCTGCAGAAGTGAAGGAGTTGGAAATTTTGAAACAAAGATACGGCGTGAACCTAATTCCTCGACCTGATGTTGACAGGTGGTGACTCTCCAAGTTAAGATTCATTTTTGGAGCATGCAAGTCCAATAATAAGCAATAGAAAAATGGAAAAAATAGCAAGCACGAATCATCTATGTAAATAGCTTTTCTTCTTTTGTTAATGTGTAATTAATGCATTATGTTAAATCTGTAAAAGAAAAAAACCGACACCGTTATCGACGTTTAAGTAGTCTTTCAATAGATAGAAATAATCTTGTATAAAGTGTAAAATAGCCCAATACATTAGACAACGTTGTCTTTAAAACGATTGATCGTAAAATTTTAGATACGCATGTGGTGTCATTTGTAGAGTTCTAATGATTAAATTTACTGTATATATTGTATATGATAAGATTCTCAATACTGTTGTATATTCTCCAAAAATCTTTGTTAAAAACTTTTTGTCGACAATTAAAAGCTGGTTTAAAAAATTACACGAAATCGATTTCTCCATATATATAATATTTGTATACAATCCCTATATTTATTATAATATTGAATTAATTACATGTAGATTTTTATTTTCGTTACCCATTTCTCATAACTCTTCATGACTCTGCCAATAAGCAATTTGCTGAATAAATATGATCTTATTGTTTAATTAATTTATTCAGCGGTTATACAGCATACTTTCTTATATTTCTTAAACTTGAAGGCAATGCTTATTTGTTTTTTCCATTCAACGAATCCTTGACTATCTTTTATACTGTATATGAGAGATTGTAGTCGTTACAAACAAAGCTAAATTATGATTTCTATAATATTTGATTTTATTGGTTTTAATTCATTTTTGCTAATTTGGGAAATTCATACTGCATATGTTAACAAGACAAGCAAAAGTTTTCTTAATATTATCGTTACATATCAATAACAAAAAGTTTTTAATTAGGAAACGAATTTTCAAATCTTTATTCCAATTTGCTTATTTCCTATTTTATTTCAATCATTATGTTTCAACGATCGGTGAATAATTTCATCTGCAAAAATTTTAACATTCAAAATTTTCAATTACATGTACTGTATGTAGTCATTTATTACTATATATTTCTCTGGCTATCTGTCTTAAAAATAAGTTTAATATACTATATATTTATATTAATCCAAAATACAGAATATGGTTAAATAAGAAATTAACTTATTTTTATATCCCGGTTAGAATTTATTTAAAGCGTTCATAAAATAAAATAATAAAAATATAAATTAAAAGATAAAATTAAATCTTATATACAATATATGTAGTTTGTCAAAAAATATATTAATAATTTTATAATCAAATTAATATATTGTATATTAAAAAAGTTTTTGAACTAATATCTTTTAACAATTTTATAATATCTCTTATAAAAAATTGTTTTTTTTTAGAAAGTTTTTCTTTTTCAAGAAATTTTATTTAGCAGAATATGTTTTTTTTTTAAAAAAAAAATAAATAAATTATAGGATTAATTTAAAACAATAAGGTTTCAATAATTAAATTGGCTCTTAAAGTTTTAACAATAATTTATTTTAAGAGATTAAATATTTGTAAAGGTATTGAGCAATAACTTGAAAAAAATAATAATAAATCACTTTCTTATATATACTGTATATAATCCAAAACAAATATTTGATTTTTATTAAACTTTTGTTTTCTATTATAATTCAATAATAAATTAAAACCATATCAAATAATTATATCAAAACAAATATTATTAATACATATTTTATTTAATATAATAATATTATTATTATTATTGAAGTTATATTTCAAAAGCAAAAATACTATTATTAAAAAAAATTAAAGTTTTATTAATATAAACAAGTAATTATTTTGAATAAAAATAAAATATTTAAAGTTATATTCTATAATTTAATAATTTATATTATTACAATTGAAATTACAATTGAAATTACAATTAAATCTTATTATATTAAACTTTATTATATCAAAGAACTAAATAAAAATCTATAGCAAATTTAACCTGTTATATTGAATTTCTTGACTTTTTTGTTATAATAAGATTTGATTATATACTTAATTATTAAAAAAAAAATCTAATTTAGTTAAATATATTGAATTTATATATTATAAAAAGAATTGTTAACATATTAACAATTATTATTATTTTAATAATTTATTTTATTATTATTATTTTTTTTGCAAATAAAGATTATTTTTTTATTTAATTTGTAATAACAAAATAAATATTATAAAAGAAACAATATTTTTTATATATTAATATAATAAGTTAAATATTATTTTGTCTATAATAATCAAATTATTAATATTAAAAAGAAAGTTTAAAACAATATATCTTGCTATATGATATTAAACAATTATGGATACCTACTTAATATTAAAAAAAATATTATTTGATTGAAATAATATAAAACTTTGAATATATTTAAAATAATTATATTTATATTAAATAAAAAAATCAATAAATATAATAGATAGATCAATAATAATATTTTCTTAAATATTGTTAGAATATAAAATTTCTATAAAAGTAATATAACTTCTTTTTAATCTAAACAAGTTAGCCATATTAAATAACTTATCAAATTTTACTTAATTTTAATAAAATATAAAATATGAATTGTGTTATAATATAATTTTTAAATTAAGTTATATAATTAAGTTAAGAATTCTGTTACTGCCTTAATTTAATTAGTAAAAACTATTATGGAAAAAATTTTGTCAATTATGCCATATAACAATTTTATTACTTGCTATATACAGTATATAAAATTAATTTAAAATTATTGTTTACACTAGTTCAAATTGGATTATTCGGCAGCTGAAGTACAGCCAATTAAATCCAAATTTATTAATAAAAGTTTATATCAAAGTTTTGTTATTTGATTCAATTTATGTCATTTAGCACTTAAAAAAAACTTAATAATTTAATAAAAAAAATATAACATTTGGCAATAAAATTATTTGACAATAAAATATTTCTAGTTAAAAAATATTTGGCAATAAAGTTACAACATTCTGTAATAAAAATTATAACATTTAGAATAAATTTTTATTATTTAACCTGTGAGTCTATAGCACAGTGGTTAGTGCTTTGCAGGTCAGATCACAAGATAATGGTTCAAATCCTTCAGGAGATTAACATAAAACCTCAAACTGGAAGAAAAGGATTGGCATCTTCTAATTGCTATTACAAGATACTAAGTTCAGTTCCAGGTGAAGGCAATTGAACCATCTCAATATAATATCTGGTGCCATAACCTAACATGTGTTTTTTTCTATAAGAAGCCAATTTACATATTGATTCAACAGATATTAGGATTGTAATATCAAGAAAAGACGTAGCAGTATAATGATTGTCTGGTAGTGTTATAATGATAATTGTCAAGTTTAGTGTTTTTCCTATTTCTTATACATAGAGTACACTTTCTTATCCCTTTAGTCCATGAGACTATAAAAGAAACAACCTAATTTTTTAAGAAAACCAAGCTAGAGCTACAAAGACTTCTTGTTAGATATGGCTAGTCCATAGCTGATTATATTAGAATATGGTTCTTTGAGTTTCTATTTATCAGATAATGGATAGGACTGGAAGGTACACATTTTGACATATTAGCACTCTACCTATGCTATCAGAGCTCCAGTGTTGATAATATAGGAAGAATGGAAGGCAATAAGCTGACTAGTAAATAAAGTCATAAGAACTTTCTCTAGGTAGTTTCATTAGGTAAATAGGTAGTAGTCAATTTCCATAAAAGGAAAAACACATATATTGTAAATTCATATCTAATGAAATAAGATATATGCCAGTCGTCAAAAAAAAATTTTTTTTATTATTTAACTATAAAGTTAACAAATTATTTAGTATTATATACTTCAGTAAAATCAAATTATATATTTTCAATAAAAAAATTGTATTTATACAAAATTTAATTAATACTTGATAAATTTATTAAAAATGTAAAAAATATAAAATTTGAAATAATTATTTACTAATTGTTCATCAATTAATTATTCAGTAATTATTTGCATATTATTCATTAAATTCTTTTTCCATTTCTTTATTTGAATCTTCCCACTTATAATTTTTGTCTTTTTCTTTTGCTGATTTTATAATGGCCCTTATAATTCTTGATAATTTTATAATATCAAGTTTTTTTTGCTTTAGGGTATTTTTTTATGGATTTTGTATTTCTTGTGATTTTTCTTTAATTTTCTCCTTTAATATTGCCTCCTGAATTTTACCTATTTATGTATTTTCTCCAGTTTAATACTCCTTTCCCTCTGAATACATAAGTAATTTATCATAATCAGATATCCTTTATTTTTTATGTTTTTTTACCAATTGATTATCTTTTTTATTTTGTTTTATTTTTTACTCTTTATTTTCTGATTTACAAATCCAATTTGGCATATTTTCTGGTAATTTGTTATGGTTTCATTTATACATTGATTAAAATAGTTGAATTGACTTTAAATGTTTATTCAAATTTTTCAATAAATTTTTTAATTATAAAATAATTAGTAATAAATTAATTATTTGATATAAAATCATTTATTAAAAAATATCTTATTAAAATACCAATTATAGTCATATATATTTATTCTTTTCTTATTGTCATTTTCTGGATTAGTTTCACTTTTTTCAACTAAATAAACTCTTGGTTCTTTAACTATATTGATCAATTCCTTCTGATATCTTATAATATTTTTGGACTTTTTGTTGACAAGTGACTGTGCACTTTTGATTTTTCATGTTCTTTTCTTTATTATTTGATAAAAATTAATACAAGTAATATAATATAAATATCAATTAATTTTACTTCATTTAATCAGCTATTTGTATACATGTGGCATAAATTATTTTGCTATTGACTCAATTCCCAAAATCCTCAAAAATAACTGTGTCATGACTAAGGATGGGTCCCTAAACTATTTAACATATAAAATTTCACAGATCAATTACGTATGTCCTTTTTGAAGGGACATAATTATTTATTCATTACTTTAATAGGGACATAATTTAAAAAACACTTGAATTAAGTGACCTA